CGCCAATGGTGGCACCTCTGTTATTACTGGTCAAGGCTCTATCCAATTATCCCCTATGTTAATCCTTGATCATGTTCTTATTGTACCTAATCTTGAATGCAACTTGCTTTCGGTTAGTAAATTAACCACTGCCTTGAATTGTCATGTAATTTTTTATCCTGATTACTGTCTCTTTCAGGGAAACCACTCCAAGGAGATTCTTGGTTATGGTGTTAGGCAAGGAAAACTTTATTTTCTGGATGTATCACACAATAATGGTGCTTCGGCTGTTCTTGCTGCTCATACCTCTACGCTGGACAAAGAAAAGCAAGCAATTTGGTTGTGGCACCGGCGCCTTGGACATCCTTCCTTCGGTTATCTTAAGCATTTGTTTCCTAGTTTATTTTCAAGTCTTTCCATTTCTGAGTTTAAATGCTCTGTTAGTGAATTGGACAAGAGACATAGAATTCCCTTTTCCCCAAGCATGAATAAAAGTTCTATCCCTTTTCAAGTTGTGCACTCTGATGTTTGGGGTCCTGCAAAAATTCCCTCATTTTCTAAATCTTATTACTATGTCTCTTTTATAGACGAATGTACGTATGGTTTGGATCACCTTGCTTAAACAAAAAAATGAAGTGTTTTCTGCTTTCCAACACTTTCATGCTATGGTCCAAAACCAATTTTCATCTTCTCTTCTTACTCTTCAATCTGACAACGGAACCGAATATGTTAATCGTGCTTTCACTACTTTCTTATTATCAAAAGGTATAAAGCACCAGACCTCCTGCCCCTACACACCCCAACAAAATGGTTTGGCCGAACGGAAAAATCGTCACTTGTTAGAGGTAGTTCGTGCCTCTCTATTTCAGATGAACGTCCCTACCCGTTATTGGGGCGAAGCCATCACTTCTGCTGCATACTTAATAAACCGAACACCATCCAGTGTCCTCAAATTTAAAACCCCTCTCCAAACTCTTGCCTCTTTTTTCCCTATCCCTCATTTGTCTAATATGGAACCTCGTATTTTTGGTTGTGTCACTTATGTTCATGTTCCACAACCCTTGCGTACCAAGCTAGACCCTTGTGCCCGTAAGTGTATCTTTGTTGGCTATTCCACCACTCAGAAAGGATATAGGTGCTTTGACCCAATTGCTCACAAAATGTTTGTCACAATGGAGGCCTCCTTCCACGAGTCAGAACCCTTTTATTCAGGGGGAGTACCTATTCCTTCTTCTCCGGGGGAGACATCTACACCTTTACTTGGAGAAGAAGACATATGGCTATCAACACAAGTTGCACCTTTGGCTCCAACCAACTCAACCATGAATGCAGTCCCTGAATCTGAGCAACAACATGCAGTTTTTGAATCTGAAAATACAGCAGAAAATACAGTCCTTGAATCTGAAGATGCAGCTGTCCAAGCCGAACATGAAGCACCCTCTCCAAGTGATACACCTTGCTTAACTCACATACCCGAAATCTCCCCTGTGGACTTCCCTGAAAGGCAACCAGAAGACAATTTCGAGGTACACACTAATCCCTCTAATTTATCTCCTCTTGACTCTACTTCACCTCTTATACCTCACATGCAAGTAAGGAGGTCTCTTAGATCCACCAAAGGAATACCAAAGCATCAGTATGAAGCTGACCCAAAAATAAAAACAAAATATCCAATTAGCAACTACATCTCCACTCATAATTCAGCCGAACCATGTATACTTGCTACTAATCAATTATCCAGTGTATGCATTCCAAATAGTGTGCAGGAAGCCTTGGATGATTCCAAGTGGAAAGAAGCCATAAATACAGAAATGGTTGCACTTCAGAATAACTCTACTTGGGAATTAACTTTGCTGCCCAAAGGAAAGAAGACAGTTGGCTGTAAATGGGTATTTAATGTGAAGCTGAAAGCTGATGGGAGCATCGACAGATATAAAGCTAGACTAGTAGCAAAGGGGTACACTCAAAAATATGGTGTGGACTACCAAGAAACTTTTGCTCCGGTGGCCAAACTAAACACAATTCGGATTCTGATCTCTCTGGCAGCAAATAGAGATTGGCCCCTGAAGCAATTTGATGTAAAAAATGCATTTTTAAATGGAGACTTGGAGGAAGAGGTGTATATGGACATACCACCAGGAGTAAAGCTCTCATCTTCAAACACAAATAAAGTCTGCAAATTGAGGAAAGCACTGTACGGACTCAAGCAATCACCAAGAGCATGGTTTGGTAGACTGTCACTCGCAATGAAGAAGTTTGGATATACCCAAAGTAATGCAGATCATACACTATTCTTCAAGAAAAAAGAAGGGAAAATATCTATCCTTATAGTGTATGTTGATGATATGGTACTCACTGGAGATGATGAAGAAGAGATGAAATCCCTTGAACAAAAATTAGCTACTGAGTTTGAAATGAAGAAATTGGGACAACTGAAATACTTTCTGGGAATTGAAGTTGCTAGATCACAACTAGGAATTGTATTGTCTCAAAAAAAGTATATCTTAGATCTCTTGGCAGAAACAGGAATGTTAGCTTGTAAACCTGCAGACACACCCATGGAAATGAACCATAAGCTCGGCATATATCCAGGTCAGACTGAAGCTGACATAGGTTTGTATCAAAGATTGGTAGGAAGGCTAATTTATCTCTCCCACACAAGACCAGACATTGCATATGCTGTCAGTGTAGTAAGTAGGTTCATGCATTCACCGAGCGAAGAACACTTGAAAGCAGTATTCCGTATTTTAAGGTATCTAAAAGGGTCTCCTGGTAAAGGTATTCTATTTGCCAAACATGAAAAGAAATCATAGAAGGGTATACAGATTCAGATTGGGCTGGAGATAAAACAACCAGGCAATCCACCTCTGGCTATTTTACATTCGTAGAAGGAAACCTTGTTACTTGGAGAAGCAAGAAACAGAAAGTAGTGGCTAGATCAAGTGCTGAAGCCGAATTCAGAGGTATGGCCTATGGTACATGTGAATTATTATGGATCAAAACTATGCTAAGTGAGTTAGGATTCAAAAGTAACCAGCCCATGAACTTGTATTGTGACAATAAAGCAGCCATAGAAATTGCTCACAATCTCGTATAGCATGACAGAACAAAACATGTAGAGGTAGACAGACATTTCATCAAGGAGAAATTGGATCAACAAATAATCTGCACTCCGTATATTAAATCCGAAAATCAAATAGCAGATATGTTGACCAAAGCTGTATCCGGAAAAAGTTTGAAGGAAGTAACTAACAAGTTGGGCATGATAGATATCTATGCACCAACTTGAGGGGGAGTGTTAAAAATAGAATATGTTATAAATATTTGAATTACTGTTTGTATAAGATTAGATAGAATCCTCTGATTTGATTTAGTAGAAAGTTGTTGAAGATATTGTGGGTAGCTCCATATTTTTAGGATGTCATAGCTGTATAAATGTAACTCCAAATTGGAGAAGAAAGTGTGAATGAATATACAAGTATTTCAGTATCTCACTATCTCTGACTCTTTGTATGTTAGTATTGATGTTTTGACAATACGTAATATCGTGTGGGGACTTTTTTTTCTTCTCTTTTTTGTCCACATAGCCCAATATGAGTCTTACATATTTTTATATATATATAAGAAATAATTTTATCACACTCAATATAAAAAATATTAATCCTATACATCGGTGAACCAAAAACTAAATATAAAAGAAAAGAGAATATTCGATATGCTCGAACACTTGGTTAATTATACCGTGTAATGTACCAAAAAAATAAAAAAGTAAAAATTATAACGTGTAAACGAAAGAAACAAAGGGAAAAGAATATTGAGTTAAATCTGGGGAACTCCACGTGTTAGTCTCCCAACCACAAGATCAAAAGTTCGGTAAAACGTGGTAATCCAATGCAGAAAAATATCGGGCCCAAAGAGAAGACACAAGAGCAACACGTGTCCATTAAGTGGACCCCACTCATCGCGTGATATCACCTCAAAAAAAAAACCAATGGCCCAGGTTCTGCCACATCAGCATCCCCAATAGCGAGCCACCTTTTGATCATCCAGTGGGAGAGACTTTCATGGAAGATATTTTTAGCGATTTTCTTGGTTGTGAGAGAATGCTCGATACAGTTGCAAAGTGCTGAATCTGAATTGCAAGTGGGAAGTGCCTTTTGGAAAATCCTTTTTATCTCTTAAAATTAGGAGATTCTTTTTTTTATTTTTTTTCAGATATTTTTCCTTGTTTATCGCTTCAATTGTACTATTCTCTTTCTGTTCTTCGTCTTAGCTCATTCTCTCTCTCTCTCTCTCTCTCTCTGAGCTACTATTGTGACAGGTTAGGGTTTTTTTTTGTTTTTTTTGTTTCTGTGTTGGAATGTAGCATGCTGTTGTTTGAGAATGGATGAAGTGATGGAGTTGAAGGAGACACAGCAAGAGCGTAACAGGAATGACAACGATGGTGGTGATCGCTCAGTTGAAGTGGTTAAGTGGGAGAGGTTTCTGCCACGGATGATGCTGAGAGTGCTGCTTGTCGAATCTGATCATTCTACTCGCCAGATCATCACTGCGCTTCTCAAGAAATGCAGTTACAAAGGTTCTTCTCTCTCTCTCTCTCTCTATTGTTGTTGTTGTTGTTGTTGTTTATAGTGATCTTTTGTGGATAATGTTTGTGGTTTAGTTGCTATTTGCGATGCGATCTAATGTTTTGATTCTAGTATCCGTAAGCATGCTAAGTTTTTTTTTTATTTGTTTACCTGAATATGCAATAAATAAACGATGATGCAATTTCAGCATGACATAATTGCTTTTATGGCTTATTTATGGTGGTTGGAGGCCTTCAAGCATGTGTGTGGAAGGTGTACATTTACCTTTTAAGTATTGATGCTTTTGATTTTGATTTTGTAATGCAGTTACTGCAGTTCCTGATGGATTAAAGGCATGGGAGATGTTGAAGAGGAAGGGATCTAACATAGATCTCATATTAACAGAAGTGGAGTTGCCGGCAATATCTGGATTTGCACTTCTGTCTTTTATCATGGAGCATGACATTTGCAAAAACATTCCCGTTATTAGTATGTTGACTTATTATTACTGTGTGTGTTCTTAATCTTGATATTATTAGATAGATATGGCTAATGTGCTTAGATTTTCTCATGGCCTTGAGCAGTGATGTCTTCTCACGATTCGGTTAGCATGGTGTTGAAATGCATGTTAAAAGGTGCAGCTGATTTTCTTATAAAACCTGTTCGGAGGAATGAGCTTAGGAACTTGTGGCATCATGTTTGGAGAAAGCATGGTGTATGTCATAATTTTCAAACATTTTCTAGAGATATTTTATATTTTGTGAGTTACTAATTTAGCATATGATTATTTATGTCTTTCTTTTCTCTCCTCCATTGTATATTATTTATGCAGATTAGAGGGCTTTCTCAAAATACACTATTTCCACAAAAAAAACTTAAATCTGCCACAGAAGACAATTCTGCAATCAATCAATCTAGTGGTTCTGCGGCTTCCTCACAGAAAAATAATGAATGCATCGAGAAGTTGAGCGAGGCTCAAGTAAGTTCTACCTTCCTAATTTTGCTTAGTTTCGTAACATGATGCTTAGATTTGCCAATTTTCTTAGACTTCGGTGTGTTGGGTGTGAAGTCATTAACTTTTAATTTTTAGATAATTTTATTTCTGAGATCTATCTACACTTTTCACTCAATGCTTGGCTTGAGTAACATTTGAAAACATGCAACCTAAAATCTATTGTACAACGCATCTGCTAAATCACTTACCTTGAGGTAAAAAATTTTATAGATAAGGTTGGTTTCATGAAAATTTCACATTTAAAGTACAAGTTGTGCCAACTCTTGTGTAGAGCACCTGTACATCGCCATTTTTGGAAGCTGAGAGTGCAAGCATGGAGAATATGCAGGATGCATCCCTGCTGAAGAGCTCTTCGATATTGAGCAACATTGATATGATGATGCATGAAGAATTTACCAATTTTGAAAGTGAATCAACTAGGCATAATGGTGAAACAAGAGTTGTGTTAATTTCTCTCATTCTCTCATTTTGTTACTTATTGACAATTGTGTCATCTCCTAAAAACGTTTACTGCAGAGAAATCAATTGCATTTGCATCTGAGGCTGAAAGGTGCAACAAAACTTTTAAATTAACAGATTTATGGCTAGAACAAGATCATGGCTGTGCTGAATCCGAAAGAAAAGATGAAATTTTAACAGATGAGTTAAACAGAGACAATCCTAATATGAATACCGAGGCACATGGATGCAGTGATGAACGGGTAAAACCTTCTAGAGCAGCTAACTTGATTGCCACATTTGAGAATCTTCCAAAGCACACTAATGAAAAGTGTAGTCTCGACCGTGGTAGCACAACCAAGTTTGATTTTGATACACAATTGGGACTTTCTTTAAGAAGGGATTGTCCTGGCAGCTCATGTAAACAAGCAAGTGAAGCAACTGAGGAGTGCCAAAGATTGAACCATTCAAATACTTCTGCCTTTTCTTGGTGAGTTCACTGCTTTCTAGTGACTTTTTTAGTTCTTAACTGATATCTTAAGTACCAAAGCCAGGTGTCATACAATACTCCCTTTGAACTATCAATTGAAACAAATTTGAATCTGCAAAAGGAAGTTTTTTCATGGACTTTTGTAATTTTATATTTCACCTGTGCTTTCTTGTTCCTTTTTGTTCCTTTGGCATTCTTGTTTATCCTGTTCTATATGTATGACTAGCAGTGGTAAAAGGTGGTGACTAAATGGTTGTTTGGACTAGAACATAATTTTGAGAGCCTGGGTTGATAGTCTATTGAGGGAACCAAATGATGGTAGATATAGTTATGCTTCTGAAGGCTAAAGAGACAACAGATATGTGGGTGTCTATATGCACATCATCAGCAATCATAGGAGTACTTCAAAGAGACTTTATTAATAACAATTAAAATTGTTTCCCTTAAATAGATAGATCAAATCATCTTTATGTAAAACTATATGTTGAATATTACATTTGTGAACTCCCATTGTCCCCCTTCCCCCCAGCACCCTGAAATAAAGGCTATGCTTAAACTTTCATCCTTGGGTGTAATGAGAAATCAGTATCTTTCATTCAAAGATATTTTTCATTTGACATTCGAAAATCAGCATGCAATTATTCTTTGTTGCAGGTATAGTGGTTGTAAGTTGTTTAAGCCCCTTTTTCCAACTCCACCAATTACATCTGCCAAAGTAAACAACACCAATTGGGATTCTCAAGAATACCATAAATTACCTGAAATTACTGCTGGTAATTGTTGTCAGTATGGTGGCTCAAATCAAAAGCAGGAAAATATGACCACTACAGTCCTTGGTCGGTGTGGACAAGTTACACCAAATATATCTCACAGACAATATGGACCCTTACCTGTTATTGGAGTTACTTCCAATCTTAAGCCTAAGGGACATATTAAAGTTTTTACTTCTGTGTTCTGTGAACAATCTGGTGTTCATCCCATATGGAATCAAAAACCAGTGTGCCAGAAAGAGAGTTCTCCCTTTCCCACAAGTACATCCTCCCATTCCAATCCTGAAAGTCACAACTCAGACCAACATCATCACTGGTCCGATGATGCTACCTGTACCTCACTTAAACAAAATTTAAATGATAAAAGCAATTTGGATCATGTAAGGCATGATTCTCCTGCTGCTGGTCAGAATGCTGATACTAGTTTATGCCATGATGCTGCAAATCTTATTAATAGTATTGCATATGGAAGCATAGGCAGTGGAAATGACGGAAATGCTACTTCACCTATGGTAGCCATGAACGACCCTGAAAATTTTAGTGATAGTGGTTGCCATTATTATGATGGATTTAGATTGACAAATTCTCGTTGCTCCAGTCATAGAGATGCAGCTCTAACAAAGTTTCGACTGAAGCGGAAAGGGAGATGCTACGAGAAAAAGGTACTATAACAAGTGCTAATACTATTAGTAACGAGCAACTCTAAATTTATGGTAAATGTATATCTATGATTTAGTTAGTTTGAAAACTCTTATAGCCCGATTAACTAAAGATCTTATTGCTCTCGTTTCCTGTACAGGTTCGATATCAAAGCAGGAAAAGACTGGCAGAGCAGCGCCCTCGGGTGAAAGGGCAGTTTGTACGCCAAGTATACAATGATCATCCAGTCCCTTTTGCTGGTGGTGATTCCTGAAGTTTGTTAAGTTACCTGTAGTATTAAATTACAGCTGACTTTAAAACTGATTTGCGTTAACAAGGATTAGCATTTAGCTGTAGGGTGTTGTGTGTCTGGTGGAATCTGTTTTTCTTGAAGCATTGGGCAAGAGAGTAGGCCAGTAAGGAGATAACTAAAGGGTAGTGTTAAGCACTCCTTGTGTTTTCTTCTTTTTGTTTTGACTGTCGCTTACTAATTTAGGGTTGTAGTAATTTATAGTGGGATTGCTCTGAAGTTTTGGTTTTACTTTTACCTGTGTATATATGTCTTATTGGTTGAATGCTAATATGGGCGTATATAGGCTGTAAGTTTCAGTTTGAGAATATCCCGTTAAGCACCTCTTGTTTTGCAATCGAACGATCTTTCTTTGCATTCGATCCTTTAAGCATTGTTTTTTAAACTTGGTTCACATATTTGTCCCATCTATTGCAATTCGCAAATGCCATCTATTGCAATTGGCAAATGTTGTTGACTTGATTTTATGTTTGCTCAAAACATAGAATTAAGCGTCGAAGACTAGTAGATTGCGTACCTGTAAGAAGCTAATGGCCTCTTAAATCTCCTTGTGTTTTGAAAGGTAGTACACTAGTACTATCTAAATTAAAGAATGCCCCTAAAACTTGCATGGTTCCTCTTGCATGTTCATGTACTACTGTTTTCAATTCGTCTCCCTTTGAAGATGTTTCCTCATTTCTACTGAAGAGATTGCCACGCGGTTTAACCAAAAAGAGTTGAATGTTAATGACTTAATGATAGAAAGCATTTTCTTAGTTCGATGGCGCTTGTTGGACGTTTTGCTGTGGCTTTTGATATATTCATGTTCTATAGAGTGATCCTTGCTGAAACTAGTGCAGGGACTTTTCATTGGAAAAGCATCGATCATCTGCATTTGAGGGATACAGTTTGTTTAGAGTGGGGCCTGAGATAAGGCATGGTCCAAACGCCAACTTGTGTAGCATGGAAGTGGAGACACGTTAGCTGCAGTCAGCACATGTCTCTTGCGTTGCATGAAGAAACTTTTTATTTTAAACTCGTGGATACTTCCGTGAGAAATGAGCCACATGGCCTTCTTTGGCTATTCTTTCTGGTCCTTCGCCCGTGGCTTTCTCTTTCCGAGTGTTTTAAAACTTGGATCGATAGTTAACTTAAGTCATTGGTTTAATTGATATACTGTTTATATATTAAAAAAATATAAATATATTACTTATAATATATTTATAAGTAAATGCTATAAATAAAAGAAGAATGTTATTCCTATATACAACAGAAAATGACAGCTTTATAAGTGAAAGAAAATGAATGGTAATAAATATTATACGTGAAAGAAGAATGTTATCTCTATATGCAACATAAAGTGACAGCATTATATTTTTTTATCTTAATAGCTTGCATAAAAATAAAAGAATAATATTAACTAAATGCATAAAAATAAAAAATAAAAATAATATTAACTAAATTATGTAAAATTGGCACATTTCATCATCTCTCGTGAGTCCCACCCCTTCATGGATCCAAGGAAGTATAAGAAATTTGTGAATCAATGTTAAAAGTGGATCTCGCAAATCAACAACCATAACAAGGAAATTTGTGAATCAATGTTAAAAGTGGATCTCGCAAATCAACAACCATAGCAAGCTGGTAAAAATGTGAGACATAATAAGATTATCACCTTCAAGATTTTATGCACTTTGAGACGATATAGAGCAAATGTCATATAAAAAATTACTTCACTATGTATATTTCTTTATAAATATAAAAGCATAATCGATGAAAACAACAATACCAATTATCCAAATGCGTGCGTAAAATATAGACTTTTTTTAATTACGGGATATATTAATAGGAAGAAAAGAATAAATGCACATCTGGGATGGATAAAAAGTTAGCTGTTATACATAGTCCCAACCAGAGTTTTGTTCTTTATTATTTTTTTAAGTTGAAAAATCAAATTATTTTTACGATCTTTCTTCAGTTTCAAGCTCATGATGCAGGTCCAGCTTGCTTAAGACTGTTGCCCCCCTTCTTTTGTTTGAATAAGAAGCAAACTTAAAAAGAATCGGTTAGTTTTCCCAACAACAAAAAAAAGGACAATTGGGTTTCGTTTAACCCACCGAGACTCGGCCGGGTCAACCAGTCTAAATCGAGTCAAGTACATGACTTATCCAAATAGCCACTAGAACTGATGCCCTCATCGGCTCACCGAGACCCAGGTCAATCCAAGTTTTAAAAAACTGCATTGGACTCATTCTATCCTTTTATTTTCATATTGGCATCTTATTTATTTTTGTAAAAAGATAATATTAAACTATTCTTTAGTCAATATTTATTTAAAAAATAAAAAATGGTGGCAAAGCGTGCAACCACTCTGAGGCCGGTATTGTTAACGGTATTTACCCCTCCCCAAATGGGCAACTCCAAGTATCGAACCTTTCTCACTTCATTGGCAGGGGTTCATCCGGACCTAGCCAACCGATTCTAGGCCAACCCTTGTTGGGTTTTAGTCAAAAATTTAAAAAGATTTAGCGAAGTTCTTATACTTTTTTTTGGTAAATAAGTTCCTATACTTTTAAAATGTTTTAAATACATCCCTATTTACAATCGTTATTAACTTTTGTTAAACTATATAAATTTATTTGAAAACTTAAATAAAATGGCATATTCAATTACACTTCTATCAAATAAATGCTTATAGTTTATCTAAATTTTCAAATAGATTTTTCTAGTTTAGCAAAAGTTAATGGAGTCATCTTAAGTAAGAACTTAGTTAAAAAAATTAGAAATAAAATGACTTCCTCAAAAAAATTTAAACTATTGGGACTTATTTTAAATTTTAATTAAACTGTAAGAATCTACATACTAATATAACCAAAAAAAAAGATAAAAGAAAAGAAACATCACCATTCACCACTGCCGCTTCACATATTAAGGTTCTTTAAAAGAAAGATTGTTTGTGTTTTTAATCACAAATTAAAGGATCTACATAAGCAGACAGGGAATTGTTGGCATTTGGCTTAAACATGAACAGATAAATTTTAACGCACGGCAATGGCTCAAGTGGAAAGTGAGATTGAGCTGCCTTATCGATTGATGAACCTTTTCATCCTGAAAGGATATGGAAAAGCCTCGCGCGTAAAACAAATTAGATGATTTGTAGTACTTATAATGAAACAGAAATGGTTTACTATTTAGGGGATAACTAACTAGAGGATTATTTTTGTATATAAGTTTCTTTTTACAGGGTAATTTTGAAATAGTTATACTTGAATCACTTTAAACATTTGATTTACTGTGGAAATAGATAGAATTTAAACATTTATTGAGGACTAACAACTAATAAAATATTAGAAAAATTAATCAGACTTGCTATATATCCTTAAATTCAGTTAACACATCAATTACCTCGTTATAGTTATCCCACGAGAAAATTTTGTGAGGGGTGAGAAATTCAAAATTCAGACTAACTTATGCAAGATAATATAGACAGGACAACATAGTAGTGGGTCGATACAAAATTAAATTTAAAAAAGAAAAATTTGTTACATGATAAATATTTATAATATGCAATTCTTTTTTTTAAGGGGATTACTTCTATCATGTAGTATGAGAAAAGTTCTCTCATGTAATATGAGAGAAGTTCTCTCATATTAAGAGACAAATAAAGTGAGTCTCACCAAATTTAAAAAAAAAAAAAAAAAAAGAGGCACATTTTTTGAAATAAGAATAACATGAGAGATCAATTTCATGCGAATATAAGAATACGATTTCCCTTCTTTTAAATGTGAATGTGGTTTAAGATAAGGGTTTGATGAGCTTAAGGGGAACAATAGCCCCTTTTAACTCCGTTACAGCATGCAAGTCCTCCCTGCATTATCCGTCCACATTTAAGTTGCTTCTGAGGAGTGATCTCATTACTACTCTATTTTTCTGTTGTTATCTTCATTATTAATCTACTGTATTATTCGTTTGCTCATACCTTATTAGTAAAAGCAAAGAAAGAAAAGTAGCTTGAATAAAGAACAAGCAAGGCACGAAACAGAAAAAAAGTAAAACACATAGCATAATGTGTTTTACTTTAGGAGTGAATAAAAAATCAGCCATTGATCTACACGCTAATGCTTTGATTCCAAGTCTCCATGTTTCCATCTAGAGTCTTATAGATTTCCTTTAACTTTTTCACTAGTTCACTAGCCACAACCCCACTAACCATATATTCATACACACTTACATTAGATCACACAACCCCTTTAACTAAAAATATCATTTGTGTCCTCCCCATTATGGCAGAACAGCAATCACATGTTCAAGAAGACCCAACCCATCGCCAACATCATCATCATCATTTTCCTTACAAAAGGACCCAACAAGGTTTGACTTCTCGCTATAGACCCAATGCTCCAAAACGTGAACATTGCATATGCATCACAATCTTCATCCTTTTACTTGGCATCATAATCCTCATCCTCTGGCTCGCCTACCATCCCTCTAAACCCCGGTTCTCGGTGACCAGCGCCGCCATCTACGGCCTCAACGCCACCACCCCGCCACTCATGTCCATCGCCATGCAATTCACCATCCTCATTACCAACCCAAACAAGCGTGTCTCAATTTACTTTGACAGGCTCTCTGCTTTAGTGTCTTATAGAAACCAACCCATCACACCACATGTTATGCTGCCACCACTCTACCTAGAGAAGCACAGCACCGTGTCGTTGTCGCCGGAGATAGGAGGCACGCCGGTGCCGGTGTCGGAGGAGGTGTCAAACGGGTTAGTAATGGACGAGATGAATGGAGTGGTGGCTCTGAAACTTGTCTTTCTTGGAAGGTTGAAGTGGGAGAGTGGTGACATAAAATCAGCACATTATGGGTTGTACGTGAAGTGTGACCTATTGGTGGGTTTGAGGAAAGATTTTGTGGGTCAAGTTCCTCTGCTAGGAGCTCCACTTTGTGATGCTGATACATGAAGCTACTATATTTCATTAATAGTAATCAAGTACAATGTGCATCTTAATCTTCCTACATTTTAAGTAATCACATATAAATTAAAAGTTGGATTTTGTTTTTAGGTTTAATGTCTCTCGTATTATATAGAAGATAAAATTATCTCCTATGTATATATAAAAATGTATGTAGCCCATATGTTCTTTTTTTCTCTCTCCTTTTCACATGACTTCATATGGGCTCTATATACTTTTATACGTATGTAGAAAATAATTTTATTTTATACAATATGATAAACATCCAACCTTTTGTTTTTTTATTAGAGAGTTTGATTTCGTATTTGAGTGATTTATGTATAACAGGAGGTAGAGATTTAAAGTACATTTGAGTGACATTGTACAATGTAATGCTAAGCATATAGAAAAAGGGAAATACTTTTTTTATGTTGTAGGAAAAATGTTATTTCATGTTGTAGAAATAAAATTATAAGTGGAACCCACAGGTAAGAGGAGAGAGAAAAAAAGTGGTGAGACCCAATACATTTTTGTGTGTGTAGAAAAGTTGTTTATCTCATGTAAAATGAGATAAATATAACCCATAAAAAAATTAGAAATTGCGTGTGCATGGATATTTGGGTCTAAAATTCAGGTACAATACAATTGGGAAATTACCACGATCACTAATTAGTTCATTTTTAATCATCGTAGTACTTCACTGCTTACATTTAGATTCCCAATAATATTTGAGTTGAGTTTGATACTGTTGTTGGCTTGCACAATGTGTGGCACACATGGGAATCAAAGTTGGGATGCATGCAGCTTCCAGCTGCAGCAAAGAAAGCATTAGTTGTCTCTATCTTCCATAGAGTGCTTTGCTTTTATAAAGCCAAAGAGAAGCATAACATTTTCCACTTTAGCTCTTCTCTTTACTTCTTGAAAAGAAAAAAGATTATAACTGAACTTGTTCACTAAGAAAGGAAGAAATATAGGTATATTTTTTTATCAGGTCTTGGTTACAAAAAAAAAAAAATCTTAATTTTAATGTCCGCCCCAAATCGAACTAGTCGCAAAAGATGAATCGATTAGAATTTTTTTTTTAAAAAAAAAAATTTGTTGGAAAAATTTTGTCGCTCATATAGTCTCATCTTACTCGATTAACCTATAAATAATATAAAAAAAATAAAAAATAACAATCTCCTGATATAGCTAACAAACTATTGATGAAGAATGAAATCTTCTATCCCCACTTCTTGTCTCTCTCTTTTTTCCCTATTTCTTTAAATAAATATTTCACAGCTTGGTAATAAAACCTCTATCTTTGTCAATTAGCAATACTATATATCTCTCTTAATTGGTAATTTTTTATGCGAAGCTGCGAAATTTTACTTAAAATTTTAAGATTAAAAGAGAGAGAGAGAGAGAGAGAGAGAGAGAGATATTTAGGTTCTTATAACAAAAGCAGAAATCAAACAAGCACTTAAATCCTATTATGAGGAGCAAAAAGGTTTAGTTTAAGTAGTACTTTGAGTAATTATTTCAGAACATATGTACTTAAGTTTTATGATATTTATGGTTTTTAAATTTGACTTTTCTTGTTGTCTACTAAATCAGATTTGCAATTTATTTACAACAAAAAAATCATATTAGTTAATATTTGAATATTTGAGGTTTTATTTTGCTAATAAATTAAACAGAACAGCAATTTTGCTTATGTCGTATATGAGTTCCATAACTATCATATTTCAAAACCCGAATCTACCATGAAATTAAATATGACGCAAGTTATAAAAGTATGAATAATATATAAAAATACATCTGCTATTGACGCACGCTTTAATATGAAATTATATACGGCCTATTTTCTTTATATTAAAATAATTGTTGTCAGTAAAATAGACGCTGGCAAGTGGCAACTCCATTTGGCAGCGTCCCATTTTGTTCTAGATTAATTTTATGTAATGAGCCAATAACAAATAATTTGCATCAATTATAATATTTAACTTGCATAGTCGATAACAAGCACAAATTAAGCATAAAAGTACGCCATTTTTCAGCACCAAAGTTAAATTTGAAATCATAATTAATTCCAATAATGAGTTATCGGTAAAAATTAATTAATTTTTTTTATTTCAGTTTGTATGATTCGGTTCAGCACAATCAAATTCATATTAGGAGTTAAAGGAAATAAATTCTTCGTCACTTTAAATCAGTGATCCTTGGTAAAACAATTTTATTACAATAAAAGAAATAGAAATGTAAAGAATCATTTCAACTCAAAAATTTAAAGTATTGGGTGAATGTCTTATTAATAGTTCATATTATTCTCTAACATATCTCATCACACAAGATCTTTTTGGACTTGAAACGTGGATATTACATAGGTCCAATTTTTGGTTTATCTGGTGCTTATTTAATTTTTTTTAGAGATATTACAATCGGTTCATCGCTTCGTGACTAGTCTGATTCGAAGCGGGTCCCGGGGATTAAGGCTTTAAACCCCTCTCAAAAGATGATACTGGAAAAGATTAAACACATCCTTCCACCCCACCTGCTCAGTTCAACCCAAAACATTAAGATATTGAGTAAAGATTTTTTTAATAGTTTATATTATTCTTTAACACACCCCCTCACGCAATAGCCCTTTGAGCTTGAAGCGTGAATATTACATAAGTCTAATTTTTGATTAATGGTTTATATTATTCTCTAACAAGAAAATTCATTAGGTTTGGTCTAGTGGTGAAGGTTTTGGGTAGATTATATTAGGTTATGTGTTCCATAATTATTTGTATATAAAAAAATAAAATAAAAGAAATACAATAATATTTTTAATTTTCTCAAAAATTTTAATATAAATTGTCAAAACTTGAAGAACTATTAAAAGCATTTATCATGCGTCTTCTATATTGCTGCATGACAGTAATGGTCGATGTTATCAAATATCACCATACCCAGGGTACGTAGTGAGGTCCACCTCGTCCATACTCAAACTTTATGTCTAGTGCTCGCAGTGATTGATAATTAAATGTCTGTTCTCTTTCGTATCGCTTGAGCCATGCCCATGGCTATGAGAATATTTTAAAAATTGAATTGAATTGATCCAATCATTAATCAATTATATCATCTCTCGTACCTTCGGATCAGAATTCAAAACAACGGATCCCTGTCATTTTCCTAATAATAAATATTCTTCATTTTCTATACATAAATTATTTAGTTGTACACATCCATGTAATATTAATTTAATCAATGAGACTATACACCAAGAAATTTGTTATTCGTTTTACTAAAAATACCTATAGATATTTCTGATTGAAGCATTCGCTCATAAACCTCATAATTAACCTTAATTTCTTTCTTGGCATAATTATTAGAAATACATCATAAAAATGGACAAAAAATGGTGATTAATCAAACATTAAATTAATGATAAAAAAATTTGAAAAAATTAAGAGAGACAGTAAACAATTAATTTGAGTGTAAGTGAGGAAAATATTTTAAAAGATTAAAATAAAGCTAGCTAATTGCATAGAAGTGACTATGTACCCATAAAAATAACAATAAACGACACTCCTTTTGCTCAGTTGCAAACTCGCAATGTTAGAAATAATAATAATAATAATAACATTGTATATACAAATAATCATCTTAAACAAACATATTACATAATTAGTCTGAACTTGATAGAAAAAAAAAATGTCAAAGCAATCGTCATTAAAAGATAAAATAAAATCAAGACCCATATTAAGTTCATAAGTACTATAATTTGTTAGTTTCACCTTCTTTCTTTTTTGAGAACTTTAAATCAGTTCATTTATATGATTTTTAAATTTACATAAGCTATTGAACTGTATTGACGGAATGGTCAAAAACAATTTTTTAATTGAAAAAAAAAATCTAAAGTTCAATAATAGTTCAAATGAAGATGGATAAGTGCAACTTCAAAACAAAAATTAAAATTAATGAATAGAAGTTGACATAAACTATAAAAGTATAAAAGTATTTATTATATATATATATATATATATATATATATATATATAGGTCAAGATCATTTTACACCAGTGTAAGTTACACTCTCAATCTTGACCATTGATCCCACTTATATCTAAGAGCTCTAATTTTTAGTAATGTGAGTCATTGGATACAAGTGGATCAATGATCAAGATTGAGTGTAAGACTTCTAATTCTTACATTGGTGTAAGAATATCTTGCCCCTATATGTATATATATGGGTAAAGTGTGTGTCATTATAAAGGATGTAAAGTTGGGCAAAAAAATTAATTTATTACTTTTTTAATAAAAAATTACGAATAAGTTGTCGTTTTGCAAAAAATTACGAATCTATAGCACCCAAACACACCCACATGGGGCGTGTTCTGATGGAGAGAGACACGCCCGTGTGGGGCGTGAGCTTGTGAAAGAAACACGCCCAAGGTAGGGCGTGTGTGGCAGGAGAGAGACACGCCCAGGGCAGGGCGTGAGCTTATGAAGCAAACACGGTCAAGGAAGGGCGTGTTCCAGGAGAGAGACACGCCCACGATAGGGCGTGTTATCCGCGGTGTATATAAATTCATTTTTCACTTTTTTACCTCATTTCCACCCTCCCATCCTCTCTCTAAACCTCCTCCTCCTCCTTCTCTCTAAATTTCTTTTGGAGGGTTTTGCGCAGCGAAGCTCTGTCTCTCTCTCTCATGTAAGTCCCTATTTATTGTTTATTTTTTTTATTAACAGCAATTAATATATGATAGTTATTAGCGACTTAGATAATTGTTAGGGGGTTAGAAAAATATTTGTGACTTTATTTAATTGTTAAGGGGTTAGAAAAATATTTGTGACTTTATTTAATTGTTAGGGGGGTTAGAAAAATATTAGTGACCTATGTAAGATTGTGATGTGACTTATATATTATATGGACTTACAAATTAATTAGTTACTTCTAAATTGGTATATGTTGGTTTTATGACTTATTTACACACTTAGAAATTAGTTTGTGACAATTAATTTTTTTTTATGAATGACACTTG